ACACACTGATCAATCATGCTTTCTTGTACTGAATTTGACAAGTTGTATTGATTCTCTTTCTTCAGGTAGCAGCATCCATAGGGCCAGTCACTCTGTTCTTGTTTCTTACCAGCACTGTCTTTGTAAATAGCTCCAGCTGCTTTATGTTGTGGTTTCTACTGTTGTTTGCTAGCAATGGACTTGCACTCTTTGCAATGTGTCCCATTCTATAACAAACATAATGTTTCTTCTCCCTTCTGTCTATTAACCTCCTGTCATCTTTATGTTCATCAAATTTGGGCAGCTTAGGTCGGCTATCCCTGACTCCACTGTCATTCTTGGGTCCTTCTACCTTTGGTTGGGGAGTTTTGCAATCTCTATTTGTGCTCTTATTCTCTCTATTTGTAGTCTCTCTTTTTAAATTTGTGCTCTTATTCTTTCTCTCTCTATTTCCAGTCTTTCATTTCTCTCACTTTCTTCTCTTTCCTTTTCTTCTTTTAGTCTTTCTTCATCTCTTCTCTCTCTACGCTCTTCTTTCTCTAGTTCTTGTTGATGTTTAACAAATTCTTGTAGTTCACTGTCTCTACAATTTCTATCAATGTATCAAAATTTGACATGGTTAGTAATAGCATGATTGTAATCTCTAAACTATTTTAGTTACAACTACAGCTGTGCGTATATGGGCCTACTTATTTCCGCTGTTATTCACGTTTCCTTCTATCGCCGTTTATTACTGTATAAACCTGGCTGTGGCTCGTCAATTATCAGAATTTAAATATATATACATATATATAATTCTTTCGCTAATTGTCAAAACATGTGGCTTTTACTTATATTTCTGAATAGTATCAATATATATTATGTTGTTATTGGGCTTAGGATTCTTCTACAGTAGGTGTCTGTGACTTGTTGACGATAAAATCAATGATAAATGAACAGCACGCACTTCACTTGTTTTCAAAATAATATATATTTGTAACAAGTTAAACGTATTGTTACGTCTCTGTTTGTTAATTGACTTTCCGTAACTTCGTTCCGACGAAACTTTAGCAACACAAGTCCTTACTTAATAAAACTGGTTTATTCTTTCTGAATATAACTTTACGATACACTCGATTTCAACATTCGCGCTAAAACAAACGCTATAACGAACTTCAACAATACTCTCTGACTGCAGATCAATTACTCACTACCTACACATTATCCCGTCACGTTGTGACCGTCTTATATATATACAAGACTAACACTATATCTAGTAATCTCCCGACAATTCACGAAGGTTCGAGAGAGCGAGTGGCGTGATACTAGTCACGTGACCTCGCTGACGCAACACTGCCCCCTCCTTAGTATTGTTCGTCCTGAACAATAACCACATACAATAAACCAATAACAATAACTTAATTAACAGTACAGAATTACAAACACAAAATTACAATTCGACAAAGTCTCTTAATTTTACGGGACGTATCTTCTTCCGTACTGGTCTCCGTCTTGTTGGCTTCTGCTTCATGTGGGGTTCATCCGCTTCATCAGTAAACGTCCAATCATCGGTAACAGTCACACCAGTGGTAGTAACTTTACCAAGAGCTTCACCGTTTCCCTTTTCAAAACTGAGTAGAGTTTCTTCTTCGACGGTGGCTTCTTCAGGTGGCACGTCTTCAGCAGCGTCATTTGTTCTGTTTTCCACTTCGTCACGTTTTCCCCTCTTATATATACCAGCCTACCCTACTAGTAAATACTAGAGCAATCGCCAAAGTACATGATAATTCTAGAAACGTTGCGTCACTGTAGTCATGTGACTCGATGACGCAACAATAGTTTGATACTCAGATGATTACTAAAATCTGCTCTGATGAATAAATACATTTATAGTTATCAGCTAGAGGAGGCTCAGTTCCAAATTTTGAAATTTTTGAGGAGATTATTGTTTAGGTAAACCTCTCTTCTACACAAATAATGTTTTATTTTAGCACAAAGATTTATTTGGTATAGAAAGGGTTTTGATTCAGATTTGGCATATATACATATATATTTATAAATATAAAGAGAGAAAGGAGTGAGATAGGATAGAGTTAGTTACTCAGATAATGGCTGGAGACGGCTTGAATGGGTAATGAAGAAAAACTTTAACATAAGTTTAACATAACAGCAAATGTACAACGTTTCGACAAGGTTTTGTCATTATATTAAAGTTTTTCTTCATTACCCATTCAAGCCGTCTCCAGCCATTATTAGTCTCAAAGTGGGTTCCTCGTCATCTAGTTACTCAGATATTCAATGAAGTAAAGGATTGTTCAGGGAGAGAGAGAGAGGCAAGTTTGTTAGTCAATTAATTATCAACCTTTTCATGATTTAGTCAGTGTGTCTTACTTTCAGCCAATTATGCAATATATGATAAAATGAATAATTGATAACAGAAACATCAAATACATAATACCATGTTCAAGGACCATTACAACAATACATACTGTGTTTAAATCTCAAGATAATACCAGTATTAATAGCTAACTTGACATGCTACTAACTAATAAAATAAAACATGAAAAATCACAAGCATTGTACATAGAGGTGAGTTGTGGTAAATGTTTTAATATCTAATTTATAAAGTGCAATGGGTTTGCTTAACATGTTAGTTGGTATTGAAATGTAATCACTATTAAGTGAAACTTTATTCCTTTATTTTGAATCACAAAAGATTTTTAAATAACTTATATTCACATCTCATGATTTTTCAGTAAATGTTTTTATTGTTGCAGATTGTCTTGAAATATTAAAAGCATTTTGTGGGAAACTGTTAATCTTGTGTACATTCTGAAGGTTATTTGAATATATTTTTTATTCTTATTGTTTTATTGTAGAGAGATACAGGGGGAAAGAATATTTTAAACAAGAACTGGGCATCTTTTGTGAAAGCTCGCTTGAACTGTTCAATTCCTGGAGAGTTTCCATTTTATTTCAATGAAATTCGTAAGTTCTTGTTTTTTTCATACATAATTTTCTTTGGTGAGGCTTACTTTGTATCTAGGCTAAAGCATACATCTTTGTAGAAGTCATACCTATATTTGTAAAGTTCTTGAATCTTATTTTACAGTATAGTTCCTTAATTCAATGACAATATTTTTTAACCTCATATGTCCAAAGGCACTATATCTTTCTTAGTATATTTCTTAGACCAAACCTAGAGACTGCATCACTGTTGTCATATGACAACTCTGTTCATAAACGTAACTAATAAAACTGGATGAATGTTTATTTATAATTTATCTATTCTGCTGATTTCATAATAAATGTAAGAAATGAAATGTAATTGTATTTTGGGTTAATTTCTTCAAATGAAGGACATTTTTCTCCTGGGGACAACATACTTTATCTAGTGATTGTCCCTAGAAATTGTCCCTTCAATGGTACAGTGGTATTTCTGTGGACTTTTCCGCTAGAAACTTAGATTTGATATGCATAGTGGGCAGAGCACATATAGCCCTTTGTCTAGCTTTGTGCTTAATAACAAACAACAACCCAAGAAATCGAGTTTTTTGTCTCCTTATCTTACTACAAAAAGTTTAAAAGTTTAAAATTCAAATCTGTTTCAATTATTATAAATATATTTTTTATCAATAATGCCAGCTTATGAAAAATTTTGATTCTATAGATTAAATTAAGGCAGAGAAGATAAATAACAAAGTTGAGCTTAGTGCTTTGCTGTGATGCATCTGGAATGTATAAGCTCCTTGCTTTTTTTGTACGCTTCAGAAAATTTTCAATTTTTACTGACACTTTCCACACAAGTATTGTATAGAAGATATATTGATGATGATTTCCTGCTCTTTCACAACACTCATCACACCAAAAAAAGTTTTTAAAATACCTAAACTTGCAACATCCATGTGCAGATATTACACATGCAATGGAAGAAAACAAAAACTTAAATTTTTTAGATCTCCAAGTAAACAAAATAATCTATTTGCCACATCTGTTTACCAAAGGAAACATTTACTGGCTTATACACTCACTTTGACAATTTTATACCAGACTCCTTCAAACATTAACTTGTTCTAATTCGTCTAAATAGAGCATATAATATGTGTTCTCATAGTTTTTGTCCTCACTCTGAAATTCCCAACATATTACAAAGTATTGGCTACTACCTTAATATATTACACTCTTATCAGAAGAACATTTTTAACAAATAAAATAGAACCTACCATGAAGCTACATACTGTCTTGAAATATCCAAAATATGCACTAGTTTTTATTACTCTTTTCATGAGCAAATAAAGTTTCAAACTCAAATCTCATATTAAAAAAATAATCAAGATGTATTACCCTCAAATTAAGCTACTTTTAGTATTTAAGTCAACATTTAATATTAAAAACATGTTTAAAACCAAAGACACTCTACTGATTCTTATGCATTCATGGGTTGTATATAAATACACTTATGGTAACTTTAAAACTACCTATACTTTTGAATCTACACGTTACCTATGAATATGCATATATATGGGAATTTCAGTTAGGAGTGAATATAAAGTAACTAATCGACCTGAGTGTTGTATCCATTACGTAGTGAGAATAACAACCATCCCATACTTCTTGAAAACTTGAAAATTCATGACTCAAAAACCACAGATTATGAAAGCCTTTCCATTTTCAGGGATCACCCAATAATAAATAATATTTACTCCTCCCTGTTGTTATTAGTTTAATCAATGTTGGATTCCCAGTGTTTTAATTTGATTATCATTATTATTATTATGCAGTGTTTATACTTTTAATTAAGCCGGCCTCCCAGTGGCACAGTGGTATGTCTGCGGACTTACAATGCTAGAATCTGGGTTTCGATACCCGTGGTGGGCAGAACACAGATAGCCCATTGTGTAGCTTTGTGCTTAATTACAAACAAACAAACAATAATTAAGCCTTTTTTATAATTATTTCTCTTAAGAATATTATTAAATGTATGTAGCCACACATTTTATCATACATCCCATTATATTGTTACCATTTAAATCTGTTCCTTCTAAACCTTTGATTATATAAAAAACTACTTGCTTAATAGCTTATGTTTTTTGTTGTTAGAATACTGTGAACTAACTTTTGAAGGTTGGTCACTGTTATAAAAGCTAGTGTTTTGTTTAATATTTTATGCTGCTCATTGATTAGAATAAAGTCACAAAGAAATTTCACAGAATGATCAAAATCTTAAAATACTTTCAAGATATATGAGTTAAAGGAAAAGAGTGCTAAAAGAAAGAAAACTTCTGTTTCTTTTCATACACCAATATTTAACACAAAAGGTAAGCTAAATGAAAGATTTTTAAAAGTTAATGAATTTATTTTGATTATAATCTTTTAGGTAAAAAATGAAGAATGTGTTATTGATGCATGAGTATCATTATCAATAGAGAAAAAAACTG